AACGTTTTGCCGACTTCATGTTCATGACAATATTTTACAAACAAATAGTAGTGAGCGAGGCTATAAGAATGACTCAATTCCGTTTTGACCTGATTTTCACAAAAAAAAGAATAAAGTTGAGTTACCCACTCGGAGTTGGTTCGACGATTCGTGCCGGCTTTACCGTTTCACCTGTAAAATGCATGCTACGGTTAGTCCTGAACAACTCAAATTTTTTGGTGTGATGGGCAGTTGGTTGACTAGTTGGGTTACTGGGTCTTTCGCGTAAGGAAATATGGCCTAGGGACAATAACATCTAAAGGGATTATTCAAGAGCAGGAAATCAGTGTTCCTATTGCAACGTACTCAGGCTGTGTCGGCTTTGGGCTTATTTTAATGGTTATCTCAGAGGATCGAGAGTAGTTTTGATTTTCCTCGCAAGCCTCGTATCTAAAAGTGGCAGATTCTGTTTCTGGTAGCTTCTTCTTCTCCCTTCAATTCATTCTAATTATCTTCTTGAAGTGAAAGCTAGGAACATAATAGGGATACGAAGGCCGCGTCTGCTAAAATCAGTTCAAAAGCACAGTTCCCGTTAAAAAGATTTCTCGGATTCTTCCCTAGGACGAACCTTCCGAAGATAGCCTATGGACGACGACGTCGGGTCGAAAAACAGACAAAATAGGTAATCACAAGGATCCCCAAAACCGGCTTACACACCCAATGCGGACGAGTTTTTACGCCTTGTAAAAGGTTAGAGGTCCCATTACTGGCATCGGGACCAACGCCTGCCCGCACAAGGTGTGAAATGGCGTGCGCATTCAAACAGCTCGTTCAGACGCCTGTTCCATGCTGCCTCTTCGTAACAGTGTCATAGGATCCCTAACTTTACTTCTTCTTTGAAGCCTTGTATTTCTTTAAATACGTTGATTTTCGCGTTTTTTTACTCCGCTTTTGCAATAATCTATGCTATCACTTCCATTGCTCGTTTAAAACTGCAATGACCCAAAATTATTGTAAACTGGGCCCTTAATGGAAAGCCATGCTTCTATGTAACTGCAGGGTCCTGGTATGATTATCGTAAGGAAATCTTAAAGGTCCCTGCATGATGATGATATGGTGAAGGAAGATTCTGAGGCTTCGTAGATAAGAATTCTTAGACAGTGAGCAACACTTCTTCTATTTTGTACAACAGTTCAAAAAAAAAGTCGATTTCAGAACTTGCTCACTTGTACTAGCGACCTTTGCTTTTGTCGCGTTTGTTAACTTCTTTTCAGGGACACCACCGTAGCTGTGCAAACGTGGAGTAGTTATTGTACGTGAAATTAGCATTTCAGCATTAGTTCCTAGAAACAATAAAGATGACAAGACCAACATATAGATCGGAGAAAACTGCATGAAATGAAGCCCTCTTAACTCATTGCGGTTTGTTCCGCCTCCATTGCACCTGATGTACTCATAGTGGAGCTGCTAACATAAGAGGGAAAAGGTGACGTAACTGCAACTGCTGCACGATTTCTTTCAACATCTGTACCTGCAAAAATTTTCAACGAGCAGAGTCCGTATGCTCTCTAAATATGTGCGATAGAAACAGGTCCTTATAGCTCACTCGTGGAGGTGCCGTCAGCTATTTTCAGAGCTGTAGGTCTGCTGGTGAAAGTAGGGCTACGGGCAAACGACGATTTTGGCGTTGCTTCAAAGCCCCTGCTAATCCTTATAGCATCTCCACCTAAAAATTGAAAAAAATGTTTTTTGCGGTTGAGCAGAGGAAAAACTTTCAAAAGCTTCTGTGAAATTGAGTCTATATGGCGGCTTATGACAACATCGAGAACCAAGGCTCTGTTTGCTCACTTGTAGTCGTCTTTTTTGCCAGGGTTGTAGATTTTTCGCCTATACTAGGGCTAGAGGTCGAGGGCACTGTTATGGAGCTTGTCGCCACCGTAGCTGCATCGGTACCTGTACAAGAGAACATTTTATAGAACAAATGGACAGCAAAATAAGGCTCAGTTTCTAGTTACCCTTTGCGGTCTGTCTAGCTTCTGTTGCGATTGATGTGCTCTTTGTTGTGTTGGTGGTATGAGCCATGAATTGTGACGTAGTCTCAGTGACTGCTGGATATTTGAGCGTACCTGTGCCTGCAAATAATTTCCCGAAATGTCACCGAAAGAGATGCTGATGCCATGCTTCACTACTCACTTGAAACGCTGAGGGCCAGCGACAATTCTTGGACAGTTTCGGTGCTCATGGTTATCGTTGCAGCATTGGCAGCTGAAAACGGCGGTGATTTAGAGGGAATTCTCACTTAGCGTTTTATTAATAAAGATTTTTCTTTTGATTACTTGTTGCTGAATGCTCAGTTCTTGTCGATCGGAATGGTTCCTCCGTGGTATGGGCGGCAGAATGTGG